CGTGTAACCGTGAAACGAATAAAATAGAAGACGCGGAGGAGAGGAGCGAAAATGGCGGCGCCGGGGCTCGCTAAGATGGCGGCCGGCCGGAAAATGAACGCCGCGGCGGGGAACAATTAAAATTAGAAATCATTTCCACGGGAGGCGGGACGGGCGTGAAAGGTCTCGGCGAGACGGAAGTCGAGAAAAAAATCGTAACGAGAAGACTGAGGGAAAAACAGAGGTGTGGAAGGGGTGGGGAATGAATGAACGACGAGGAGACGATCAGTCATTCCGGAAGACACGCCGCCGCAAATAACTCGCGGGTCAAAAGCATCGGCGGATGTGTTATGAGTCGCTCGCCCGTGTCTCGATCCTTTTTCTCTGTCCTCTTCCTCTTTTTCGCCGGGGTCTTTAGCACTTTGACTGTCGAACGTAAAATTTCGGAAATGGGAAACTATAATTACTTTGCCAACCGTTATACGAGACAGAAACGTCGTCGGAAGAACTTGTGGAGGACGAACGTGGTGGAAGAATATTAGTTTATAATGAATTGATGGACGTTGCGCGACTTTTTGTTAGAAAGCTACTGCGTTTCAAAGATCGGCAATTCTGAATGTAGCGTTTGAATCCGATGGATTGTCGGAATTTTCGGAGAAGTTCGTGTTCTTTTCGAAAACTACGGAAGCAGAAATTTAAGGCGATTTATCTCGATCCGTCTGGTAGTTCAAGTGTTAAACAATAATTGAATGAAACGGCGTTGACGCAAGCTCGAAAGCGAAAAACGAAGAACACTTCGGGCCGCAAAGCATTAACCGGTCCGCGAATAGACGAGAAAGAACGGATCGAGCCGTTTTACGGCGCACGGGAGGCAAGGGGGGATGCTGGCAACCCTAAATTAGCCGGGCTCATTAACGTCACCGTTACGGTTTTTGCACTTAATCCTTTCTCCGCGAGCCGGTCCGCCCGGCAACAGATTTTTGAGCGCGTTAAGCGCAGACGGGGAGAGCTGGAACGGTGAAATACGGCCGGGCAGTTCGCACCGACCAGAACGATCAGGGAACAAGTGCCGATTGTATTATCGGACGAATATCCGCTCACTCGGAACGAATCGCGTTGTTATTTTAAGGCGAACAGCTGGGAGACGCGCGCGGAGGATTAACCGCGGGAAGATGATATCAATTAGAACAGTTCGCGGCAGACTGAAGACGGTTCGGGGCTCGCCGAGTCGAGTTAGCGCTCAACGTCGGGACAAGGGATCGAAGTTAGAACTTGGTATCGAAGTTCGATGGTGGAGATTCGAATTAAAGCTTGCGCGGGAATCGGGGGGAACGGAGACCGAAGTTACAGCTCGAAATTGTAGTTTGCAGGTAAATTGAAGCTCGCAGCGGTGTCTCGGGAATGGGACACGGGGTTTACAGTGCGAAGATTTAAATTGAAATGAAAATCCGAAGATGAGGATCGAGGTTCGTACGCGAAACCGTAAAGCCGGTGTCTGTGGTTAAAACCGAATGACGTTGATTGAAGTTAACCCTTGAAGTTCGAGACGAGGATTAAGACTTTGAAACTTCGGGTTGATACTCGTAGGTTGAAGTTCGCGTGCGAAGATTGATGTCGGTAGCTCGCATCTGTTGTCGAAGCTTGATCGTTCGTGTACACGGTGCTCGAGGACAATCCACGCGCGCGCAATTTGCCAGTGAACGTTTATGCTCCGCGGAACGCGGAGTAACAGGAACATAAATTTCAAATCGCGCGTTGACCGACAAGGAATGCAGGATCCCGATAACCCGGGAACAGCGAAGCCCGCGAGGACTCTTCCTTTCTCTTTTCTTCGACGTCGTCCGATGATGTTCAGGTTTCCGCGGTGGGAGAGCGTGGGCTCCGACGCACACGGTGAAAGTAACGGGTCGGGACGCGAGGTTGCGGCCAAGGGATGTAATTAATCTAAACACCGGTGCTCTGTTCAACGTTGGCGCTCCTCGCGCGCGCGAATCGGTTACGTGGGCACTTAGAGAAATCGTTTGCCTCGGCGACCCGCATCGTTCCAAGCGTATTTGCACAACGATCGTTCTTATTGTCGGAATTTTCGTGCCGGCACAGTCACGCAATTGGGACTGATTGTATCTAGAGTTCGATGACGGATAGCGCCGCATTGTACGGAAAGGTCAGTTCCCTGCGACTGACGCCGGTTTAACGAATTCAAAGACGCAACTGAGGAATTCGAACGCGTCCTTTCGTTGGACGAGATCAAGCGTTCGCTTCGTGTAGATCCATTCCTTGGTGTATTCGTGAAACGGCGTGGGTCATAAATCGTTGAGCGATCAACAATTAGCGAAGTACTCGAGGTAAGTTAGGGGAATTGATAATGGGACTTGCAGATGGCTCGCAGGTCCCTGATCTTGATGAATTGTTAGATTGGTACAAGGGTTCCATTAAAAAAGGAATAAAGAGAATTGAAAGACGAGATCGATTCAAGGACTTACCTCTTCTCCCTCCGACGTCGGCTCCTCGTAATCCGATTGGGTGCACTTGAAGACGAAGATGCTATCCGACGGCTCCAACTGGCGAGCGTTACCAAACTGCGTCTGCCTGTCCGACAATTGCTTCGATGACATTGTTTCCACCATGGCCACTCTCTGGACCACGACTCCAAGCAAATGGTTCATGTAATTGCTCCCTTTGACCAGATTCGTGCGTAACTGCAAATATATCATCCATGTCAATTGGTTTGCTCGGACACCATTAGACTGCACGCGAATTGTTGGCTACGTCTACGCGAAACTTTGAACGGAAATTCAACTCCTTTTATAAACGAGTTTTAACCCTTTGCACTCGAGAGGCGAATCCCAGTCGCCGGATGATTTGATCCAGCAAAATTATAAATTTTGGTATTTACCATTCACCTTTGTATATTGCATCAGTACGTGAAATATTGAAAGAAAATAGTTTTGTTACCTGATTTATGTATGATTTCTTGTTAAATTCATTTTAAAGAATCTTGTCTGTATCTAATTAGAAAGTATAGAATATTTCAAGTGAAAAACTTTCGAGTGCAGAGGGTTAAATATTTTTAATAATATTTTACTATTCGCACTCTAATAAATTCTTGGTCTGAATAGACCATTGTGTTCAATTTTCTACTAAATCAGAATCAAATTATAAATGAAAAGCATATTAAAAATGGTAATACACTAATATTCCTATATAATACTACAATATGTTGACACTATTTATTTCTAATTTACAGTTAATATTCTTCAATATTCGTATGCTTTTCTTTAAAAATCTGTCGACATTGATAAAGGAATATTTTATTTTAAAAAAAGTATACGATTCTGACAATGCGAGCGGTACGCCATTTTTTAAATTTCAAGATGTCCTTTTGTTGCATCTATTTCCGTATGTAAAGAGGTTGAAGACCTAATTGCAGCCGGGAAACTGATAAACGTTATCGTTTCTGAAGGATTTTCATTCATCATTGGAAGCACGGATATTTAAATCACGATACTTCATTGATCCGGGTGCACGTGACACGGCCACATGGCCAGATACTTATACCTTCATTTATAGACACCGAGCAAGCCCACGGTCTTAAACAAATACGGCGGTGAGAACGGTATGGATCAAATTATCGTTTGCGTCACGGCAATGTACCGTGCACGTGCGACGCGTTATCTGTTTCTATATATACAAACGTCAACATACACGAGCGTCACGTAACAGGGAGTACACGTAACTGTACCGAACGTAGTTTCTCATTTGATTCTTGCGCGTTTCTAGGTTAGGTGATCCGGCTGATTTAAAAATGTTTACAAAAGGAACGCTCGATTATGGAAGCGGCAAACAACGGAGGTATCACGTGTACTGATTGATTCGAGAGGTTCAAATCCGAAAATCCATCGCTCCTAACAGAAAAATATGAAGAAAGACTCGGTTAAACTTGGTAAGGTTAAAACACAAACGTGCATTTTTAACAGAGACTCGTTTGAAACAATAAATGAAAGAAATGCATGAATAAAAACTTACGAAACGATGCTGCGAGTTCTTCTTCCCTTATTCAAGCAGACTTAACCACATTCGAATTACAGTTAATGTCGAACACCACACTTTTAAATCGCGAAACGTGCAATGACAACAATCCGCGAATCCGAATGGTGCTGCCATCTAGCCGCCAAGACTGGAATTAAAACGTGATTTCATGAAAATTTTCCCGCCTATTTTTCCAATCGACATTCTTTGATTGACAATTACAATGAGAATGTTTATGTATTTTGAATATCCAATGGGATGTTTTTGTACCATAAACCAGAACATATCC